TGCACTTTTGGCTCCTATAGGCATACTATTGTCCAAAAAAATAAAATTGTGAAATATAAGTGTTTCATCTTTCTCAAGAAAGGATATTGACTGATATGACATCTGATATCTAAAGTATACTCAGAGAACAAATCTTATCAGAAGAATATACTGAGAAGAATGTTCTTAGTGTTGTGGAATCTGTATTTATCCCTATGTTAGATATATGCTTTTCCATATAGAGCTGAATCATGCTTTATTATTTTTTTACAAAGGGGATAATTCTTGATAACAAAGTGACACCAGTTTTTTTTAGAAAGACATGCTTCCAATTTAAACAATATTGAATATAAATTATTTTTAAGATGTTGGAGCCCCCTGTGTCTAAACATTCTGATCACTACAGCATTTCTTTTTCCAAGAACTAAAGGTCTTCAAATATCAATTTCTATTGATTTCTCTGCCTAAAATTGTAAACATCTTAGAATCTGAATTCTTACATCTAAACATGCGAAACTCTCAATACTAACAAAACAAACAAACCAACTTAATATCTTGTCCTACATCAGACTGTAAATGCCAACTTCTTGGAGGTATTGTCTATTAGAGATTTCTCTATGACCTTTCCCCTTCTTTTTAGAGATTGATTTAAGATCTCTGCCCTCCCACAATTTTGTGAGTTCTTTCTCCACACCCAGCAGGAATTAATTTTTCACAAACTGCACTTTTTTCACAAACATTTCAATATCTCTAATTTTGACTTTTGATTTGTGCTATTTGTTCCTACTTAATTTTAAATCTTTGACGACTTCTCAGTGGAATTCAATGTTTGCTTTTCCTTGTCTTCTCGTCTTCCATGGATTCCATCTGCTATCTTAACTATTCATTTTCTATATTATCTCCTCTACATCTACAATTTCAAAGATCAAACGCTGTTAACAACTTAACTTTATGCACTTTGCATTATCTTTCTCCTGGACTCCAGATCTAAACACAATCTGTACATTTCACATAAATTTATTACAGATAACACAAACACATCATGCTTAAAAGTTCATCCACAATATTATCCTAAGAGTCTTTACTCTTTCCCCTAGGTTAATAAAGGCAGAACAATAACTGTCCTTGTGCCCAAGTCAAAACTTAATTTCTCTGATTATTTTCCTTTCTTATCTAAATGTCTCTTAAATATAACCATAATATCTATCTCATGCCATTACATAATATATCTCTTCATACATCATTGATAATACCTCCTAACTGATCCCACTTCCTCATTCAAAAACACTTTATTTTTAATTAGAGGTTCAAGTTATACTGTCCTGTAACATTTCCATGGTAGATATATTTAAACAAGATCTATTAAGTGTTTATCACCTCATACTTATGCTTCATTCATCCACTACTACTATAAAGATAAAGTATCTTCATTTTTCTTGCTTAATATGGGCCACTTCTCTTTCCAAATGTGGTTCTGTAATTCTTTTAATGAAACTTGAAGAGGACCCAGGATCATCTTTAGAGTCTCTGTATTTAGTAGGATTTCTCTATCACTTCTGTCATAGATCTTATCACTAGTCTCTTTTACTAATATATAAGGAATCTACAACGGAGTCTGTATGGTATCTTGCGCATGTGTAGTATCAATAGATAAGACAAGTGAATGTCTATAAATATATGAATGAATTAACATGAATCTACAAAAATCTTACTCTAAAAGATTCTTTCTATAAACAGGAATTGCAGAAAAATGTTATTCTTTAATGTTTTGATAAATTGTCTTCAATGGACTCTTTTTTTGTAAATTATCTTTTTGATGGGATTACACATCAAAAGAACAGCGCAGAGTCTCCTGCCCCCACGTCTGGCTGTCCTCACCAGGACCCCTTGAAGGGGGATGGTTGAGCTTCCCTCCCTGCCCGGAGCAGAGCTCAGACAGCTGAAGACCTCCAGAACCAGTCACAACGATGCTGAGATCACTCTCTGCTCACATGAAGGTACTGGCAGAAGAACAAAGGCATGCGGGTCCTGGGGCTGAGATCTCCAAGCCTGCTTGGATTGGGGCTGAGTAATCCTCCACCCAGATCCTCCATCTTCCATTAGGCAGGGGTCACACCCACCAATTACCCCCCAGCGCTGTATAATCCCATCAATGGCAAAGACACAGAGACTATAAAACCCAGCTCCCAGAAGTGCGCGGCCGCGACATCTTATTATTTCATTCTTTGGACAACCTGGCAGGCTACCGAATGTAACCTGCCAACACAGCAGAGTCTGTCAAACTCCCCGTGGCGTACCCAATATGCCAAATACCAGTAACAATGATGGGTCTCATTCTCCTAATCCTGAAAGAGCCTTGAATATGGCACTTTTTAAAATCTCAGGGCTAGGATGAAGGAGACGTTACTGGTGCCTGCTCGAGGCAATCGACGAGCAACAGAATGATCGTGATTGTGATCGTGATCTTTTTGATAAAAAAAAACCACTCAAATAAATTGTCTTCATTGGAGACTTTTAAACTGCATGTTTTCCCTAGAATTTTGCCTACAATTGATTTTCATGTGTTTTTTTTTTCTAGAAAGCAAGAGCTCAATCAAATGTTTTATAAATGAATAATAACAGTTCTCTCATGACAATAGTCTATTCCCCATTATGGACTTATTTCACTTTAATAAAATAATTTCAGGCATTATGCACTGTCAAACATCAATTTCCCAACAAATATATAAAAATATAAGGATACTTTACTATGTTTCTCTTAAAATATCATTCTTTTTTGAAGTCAAGTGTTATATGACTACATTGAGCTTAATATGATTTATATCAGCCAAATTGCATGAGAGTCCTGAAAGGAACATGGATAAGTAATTTCACAGACTTTCTATTCTTCATTTCCTCCCACTGATTTACCTTGCCCTTAAGAAAATATAAGACCGGGGGCTGGAGTGATAGTACAGCGGATAGAGCATTTGCTTTCCATGCAGCTGACCCGGTTTTGATTCCCAGAATCCTATATGGTCCCCTGAGCAACACCAGGAGTAATTCCTGAGTGCAGATCCAGGAATAACCCCTGTGCATCACCAGGTGTGACCCAAAAAGCAATATGTACATATAATTTTTAAAAATTAGATAAGAATCTATGGAGGGGGCAGGGGCAGGCCAAGGGGATTTGGGTACATGGGTGGGGTTAGGAACGATAGAGCCAAATATCCAAATCACAGAGTCAACAACACAGAAATCATGAGATTCAAACTTTAACAACTGAACTTTAAGAAGAAGCCCATCAAGTGGGGGAAGATATGGGAGGGAACCTGGGAACATAGGTGGAAGGAAATAAACACTGTTAGTAGTTTTGGTGCTGCAATATTGTATGTCTAAAACTCAACTATGAATAGGTAAAGGCAAAGGTAAAGGTAAAGGCCCTCCCGTTGATTGTCGATTTGCTCGAGCGGGCCCAGTAACGTCTCCATTGGAGACTTTGTTGTTACTGTGTCTGGCATATCGAATACTCTCGGTAGCTTGCCGGGCTCTCCGAGAGGGGCGGAGGAATCGAACTCGGGTCAGCCATGTTGGCCGCTTGTAAGGCGAACGCCCTACCCGCTGTGCTATCGCTCCAGCCAAAGTGATTCCAACTATGAATAACTTTGTAAATCATGATGCTTTAATAGTAATTAATTACTATAAAATAATAAAATACAAAACCTGGCAATTAGGCTTTATTAAAGAAAGAATATGTATGAGGAAATTACACGGAGATAGAAACCCATTCTCTAAGTCTAAATATGGAAAAGCAGTTCACTGAGTTAGGGCTGAAATGCCCTAAACATCCCAAAGCTGACTCTTTTCCTTCAACTATTTTTATGTCTTTTCCAATAGACATCATCACTCTGGCTGTCCACAGTAAACATGCCCTAAAATGGCCTTGCATTTCTCATAGTGTTTTTCTCTTACAGAAACATTTCAAATAGCTTTTATTACTCCAAATAAAAGTATTGCCATTAACATATGGTATATGAAATTTTTCATTGCAGATCTTTGCTAGAAAACAGTCTAAAATGAACCTAAACACAAAACTAAATGATAATGGTGCTTTAACTGCACCAATAACCTCTTATCTTACACTCTTCTTAGCTAGACATAGATGAATTGCAATAAAAAAATAGGTGCTGAGTATATAGCTGGGATTTTACTTTTATTCTATCAGATCTTCATAACCCTATAAGATATGTGTTATGTGAATGCTGAGTCTGACTCAAATAACATTCTGAAAAATACAGTTTGTGAATAGAAAGTAAATCCCTTGTCATTAGACTGTACTATTCTATGATCTTTTAAGACATGATGTTCATCCACATATTTTTCCAGGTCCAGGTCCTAATTCACTATAATCATTGACATGGATTTTTGCCAAGAGTCCTTTGCTTGCGCTATCTCCATGAGCCTTTGTGGTCAGAAGAAATTATAATTACATGACTTTAATCTATTTTTATAAAAAGGTAAAGGCCCTCCCATTGATCGTCGATTTGCTCGAGCGGGCCTAGTAACGTCTCCATTGGAGACTTTGTTGTTACTGTGTTTGGCATATCGAATACTCTCGGTAGCTTACCGGGCTCTCCGAGAGGGGCGGAGGAATTGAACTCGGGCCGGCCATGTTGGCCGCTTGTAAGGCGAACGCCCTACCGCTGTGCTATCGCTCCAGCCCATTTTTATAAAAATTTGTTGAAATATCTTTTAAAAAAGGAAAAAAAACACCCTTTAAATAAATGCCCCAAATGTATGTAAAAAATAGAAAGAAATCAAGTAATTTTCACAGAGATGTGGATGACTCCAAGCAAAATGTGTTTCCAAAAATGCTCAGGAACTCCTGCATGCTTTGTTTAGGAATATAATACAAACCACTGGTATTGATTATATAATCAGAGTTAAGACTCTAGAAAATTCGGCTCTTTCTGTCAAGCTCTGACTATCACTTCCAAACAGTATTTCTCCCGTGGTACACTGAGCAAGTAAACATAACTCACAGCAGTTGGATTCATCTTCATTCAAAGGACAATCACGCACTCCATCGCAGAGCAGCAGGGATGGAATGCACTGACTGGGAGAGCACTGGAACTCCTTTTCACCACAGACCCGAGGAGTGGGTAGGGAAGGGCAATCCACTTCATCAGATCCATCTTTGCAATCTTCCTGTCCATCACATTTCCTCAAGAGGGGGATGCACTGGGAGATGTACACACAAGAAAATTCATTTTCTTCACAGGGCGATGGCTGTATTGTAACAGGACCTAAAAAAAGATGACAAGAGAAGTGACTCTGATACTGGGAGAACTACTGGGGTTGAAACATTAAAAGGTGCTTTTATTTTTGTTTAATCTGAACCAATTCGGTATTTTAATTTCACTTAATTTCCAATGGGAATAAGATGAACATACAAACTATCAAACATATCAAATTACTAAAGACTATGCTTGCTCTTACACGAGCATTGTTTGCATGAAAAGAACACTTAAAATTGAAGAAGAAATTTTACTTCAAATGTCTTATAAATTTGACCACTGAAGCATATTTCCCTTAAAAGTACAGATATTCTAATACCGAGATCTTAAATTCAACTTTCCTTTGAATTTTTGTACCTACAATTTTATAATGTAAGGGAAGTGTTAATATACCAACTGACATTTTATGAACTATCCTTTAATAATATCCAGTTGGGGGGATTGGCTTCTTAGACCCTGGTCAGGATTGAGTCAATAAAGTAAGATACTGGTATGATTTACCCATGCTCCACTTTGCCCTAAAGTCTTGGTTACTAGCTCAAGGTCCATGCACTGCCGAATCTAACATACAAATGAAATCATAATGTAACTCATAAAGTTAATATCTTTCAAAACCAACAAACCAACTCATTTTACATTAGTCCATACTTTTTTATTTTCACTTATTTTATTTTGATTTTTGTATTTTTGGGGCTACACCCAGGGGTTCCTAGGACTTACTCTTGGCTCTGCGCTGAGAGATTATTTCCAGCAGTCTCAAAGTACTGTATGGGCTGCTTGGGACTAAACTTAGGTGAGCCATGTACCAGGCAAGCAAGCACCTACCACACTGTATTATCCTTCTGGCTGACATCTTAGTATTCTTCCTACCAAAATTTTATTTTACTAAAGCACCGTGAGTTACAAAGTTATTTATAATTGGGATTTTGACATACAATGTTCCATCATGGATCCCATGACCAGTGTCACCTTCCCTACACCAGTGTCCCCAGATTCCCTCTCCTACCCCTGACATACAATGTTCCATCATGGATCCCATGACCAGTGTCACCTTCCCTACACCAGTGTCCCTAGATTCCCTCTCCTACCCCTTCACCCCATCTTAGCAGGCATCTTTTAAGTTTGGTTATCAAAGTTTGGGTCTAACTTTTAATGTCCAAAAGATACAATACTTGAAAATAAACTTTAATAAACACTTATTGTGTGTAAGTGTTTAACTCAACTCTGAGCCAAAATTTAAAATACAAGCAAAGGAAGTGTTTCCAGAGGCAAGTGTGGTTATGTGAATATGCAGGAATGCATTGATTTGCTAGGACATTAATGGTGAAATGCTTCTTGGACTGTGTATTGTCTCTAATCCTGGAAATAGACTCATCAGATGTCAGTGAGGACAGTTCAAAATAGTTTGTTATAAGCACTTCACATTCTGAGTACTTTTTGTTTGTTTGGTTTTGTGCCGTCCTTCCTCCCCAACTCCTGTGACAGTGCCCAAAGCTTACTCCTGTAATCAGGATCACTCCTGGCTGTGGTCCAGAGACCATATGCAGCATCAAAGATCAAATCTAGATTGGTCAGATACAAGGAAAGTGTCCTTATTGATACTAACTCTACAGAATCATTTTTAAGAACTTTTATTTGTGAATCCTATACAAATAAATTATTTTATATAGGAAGATGGTATAATAAATTCATTTTTAAGTGAGGAACCACAGTGTTAGTGTAGAAGGGAGGGCATTTGCTTTGCATGCAACCAACCGGAGTTTGATCCCCAGCACCTCCTATTTCCTCAGAGTCTTCCAGAGGGACCCCTGAGGGTACAGCCAGGAGTAAGCCCTGAACATTGCTGGGTATGCTCCAAAAACAAAAACACACACAAAAAGGTTTTAAAGTGGAATTTAAAAGTTCTGCTTCTGTCCTACAAACTCACTAGTAGGATATACACTGAATATATTTAGACTCACTCTATGTTCAATTTGATGTTTTGGGGGTTTAAGTGGTAAATTTGTAGGCCATCTCTGTTCCCAGAAGCTGCATATAGTAAAGAAGCGAGTAAACAATGACATTCAGATGGTAGTCCCATATTTTATCCAATTTCTTTAGATTAGCAGTATTAACAATTGCAATATTCCAAGAAAAATATCCTGAATTCAGAGTTCAAAAAGAAATTTAATTTAATATAGATTTATATGTATGTAGCTCTTTATAAAATGCATAATATGCTTTGATAAATATATATGAATATATATATTACAGGAATGTAATAGCACAGTGGTAGGGCATTTGCCTGGCACGTGGCCAACCCGCTCAACCTAGGTTCATTTCCTCTGCCCCTCTCGGAGAGCCTGGCAAGCTACCAAGAGTATCTCGCCCGCATGGCAAAGCCTGGCAAGCTACCTGTGATGTATTCAACATGCCAAACACAGTAATAACAAGTCTCACAATGGAGACATTACTGGGCCCGCTCGAGCAAATAGCAAACATGTATTTTATGTAAAATTTATATTAATATTTCACGATTATTGTTATATTTAATTATAAATTTAATTATAAATTAAAATTTATATTAATATTTATTCTTTTTACTAGATTAACCTCATTTAAAAACTGTATGCAGTTTTAATTGTTGGGAGGGAGACTTCAGAGGTGCTCAGGGCCTGGGTCAACACTTGTTCTGAGGTCCAGAGTTCAGTGAGATGCTCCAGTGATGCAGATCTCGGGCTTGGTGTTGCTGGGATTCTCCAGAGCCACTTCCGGCAGTAACAGTGAGGTGGAGGGAGGCATGTGATTCTGGGAACTGAACTCAACATCTTGCATATGCAAGGTTTAAGGTTCATTGTTTTGGGGCTACCACCCAGCCTCTGAATGTTACTTTTATTTCTTACATTATTCTATGCACTACATTCTAATCGTCATGAACTCACCAAAGGCTTAAAAGATGGAGTAACTTTTTTTTTGCCTGTAATAGAAATCTAGAACCAATCTTAGTAACATACCTATTATTAAGCTAAGGATAACTTGAAGAAAACTTTTCCAGAAACAAACACAGAGGGAAGTAATTTCCCCCACACCAAATCAAGCACAGATTCTTTGTAAATTCCACACCTCATTTAAGAAACCATGTGTTCCTTTATATTTCCTCTTTGAAATAGATACGTAAAAAAATAAATGAATCTATTATCTGAAAACAGCAAAGATATTGAATCACAGAATTATCTAAAGGAACTCAGAATTCACTTGTTCTATGTCCCTCTTTATAAGTACTGCATCTAGTACTAGCTTACCAGCTAACCTTGGTTACCTTGCTTCTCTTATCAAGACTTTGACATTCATTTTTCTGGTGGTGTAGTGTGGTGGTTACCAAATGACAGTTCACACCCTGATCTAGCTCCAGGAACCTCTCTCTAAAGATACATGGCCCCAGGAAAAAAAGTTGTTCATCAGTGAACTGGAGAGTTGGTGGATGCACCAGGATCTCTGTCTCCCATAGGGATGTTGTGGAAGGAAAATGCCATTGCAACTCCAGAACCTCCATGGCATCACTAAAGGCCCTGCCTGGCCCCACGTCAAATCTCAGCTCCACACTCCTCAGTACATGCCGGTTTCCTGCACTCCGCACGGCGGTTCCAGGGAGAGTCTCCAAAGCCCTTGTAATGGTCAGCTCCACCTCAGAGTTCAATTCCCTAGGAAAAGGTGGTAGCTCAACAATCAAAATATTTTGTCGGGAGCTGGAAAAATAGCTCAAAAACTGTTGTATGTTATGCATACCAGAGGCCAGTTTTGATCTCTGTCACCACCCCATCACTGCCCAGAGCAACACCGAACAATGAACTAGGAGGAGCAAAAATACTTCTGGTTACTTTTCACCCAGGGCTGGAGCAATAGCACAGTGGGTAGGGCGTCTGCCTTGCATGTGGTCAACAGGGTTCAATTCCTTCATCCCTCTCAGAGATCCTGGCAAGCTACGGAGAGTATTCCAGCCACATGGCAGAGCCTGGCAAGCTTTCCGTGGCATATTTGATATCCCGAAAACAGTAACAACAAGTCTCACAATAGAGACGTTACTGGTTCCTGCTCAAGCAAATCGATGAACAACAGGAGGACAGTGCCAGAGTGATATATATATATATCTCGATGTGTGTATATGTGTGTATATATATGTAGATAGATAGATAGATAGATAGATAGATAGATAGATAGATAGAGTTTGTTTGAATGTGGACACATTTGGCATTGCTCAGAGCTTACTCCTAGTTCCATGATCCAGGATCTCTTCCAGTGGTGCCCAGTCAGACTCATACGGGCCAAGTGCTTTACCTACTGTAACTCTCTCCAGTCTCCAAAGTACCTTGTTTTCACTGTACCTTGTTTTCACTAAAATATTTCTAACGTTAGAAGAAAACAAAAATGCACTCCTAAAATGAATCTAGGAATTCTTAGTCAGAAACAGTTCTCCATAGGCTGAAGATTTTTTGTCTCACCTTTTACCTAAAACAATTCTGTATTCTTCTGCATAGTTTATCCATTAGTTCTTAATACAAAAGGCATCCTTCAGGTATTAATACCTATTAATACTGATAGATGATATAGTAATATTTACCCTTTGACTTGAATGCATGTGGTTGCATATTATTTTTTGAAATTATGAAAGTTTTCCTAAAATATTAAGTCCACAGATCATCTGCACCAAAACAGTCCTTTATATTTGACTTTATTTAGTGCTAGACAGGCAGCTAAAATTACTGGTATTATATGCAGATATTTGTCCTCCTCCATAATATTGAGTTTCAATGTTTATTTAGTTTGGGTAGAAGTTAATATATCTTTCTTATAGCAATAAAAATGATTTCATATTAAAAATTTACCATGAGTACATTGAAATGTTCTTGTAAATTTTATATACAATAAAAGCTTAAAGTACACAAGGATAATCTGACAGTTTTATCTTTATGATTAATATGTTTAGTGAAATCTAAATTGATTGTTTTGAAAGAAAAATATTCACAAGGAAC